GCGGGGCGGGGGATAGAGGGGGGGGGGGTGTTCCAAAAATACAGATTCTTCTCTGGAGCCCTAGGTGCATGCCCGCCTTCCCTAGGGGAAATGCCCGATGTGAGCCCGTCAGTGCTCCAGCCAAGCCGAGGCAATTGGCTCGCTCCAATGGGACTGCTCCCCAACCACTGATCTTCTGCTTGGTGTCACAGGGGCCTTTCCATGAGGTGGCCCAGTCTAGCGGTTAGAGGATGTGCAGGATTTCAGGGCGGATGAAGCCAAATTCAGCTGTAGCATTAGCAACTTTTCCCACCAAATTCAGGGCAGAAATTACCAGAGGGTAAACTGAATACCAGAGGAACTGAATTGAGATCTCTTGCATCCTTAGCCACAGGACCATCTTTTCTCTCCCTTAGTGATTGGGAGAGTTTGCTGTACTATAACTCTCCCTCCATTCTTCCAGGAAGGTACAAGAAGGAAAGAGTCATTCATGTCACACACAATGTTCCCCTCTAATTTTTTTCACCCCTGTGCAGAATAAGTTTTTTTCTGTGCACCAAGGCCTGGGCAGATGTGCACCACCAGTAGTAGGCATTCTGCTCATCAGCTGGGTAGCAGCTCAAGTGCTCAACTGATGGGGAACCCCGCTTCCCACTGGGACCCCTTCGCTTGCTGCCAGGCAAGGCCCCAGGCTTCAGACATGCAGGTGAGCCAGTAAGTCACTGCTCTGCCCTGTGGCAAGAGAGGGAGGGGTCCAAAGAAAGGGGGCTCCTTCCAGATCCAAGGACACAGCTGCAGGCCCCCCGAGCCATTAACTGGGACTGTCACTCAGTGCCCCCTTCCAAGGGCTGCACAACCCAGCATAGGGAGTGCACGCAGGACACCCCCCGCCGCGGCGAGCGGCTCCCCACCCCCCCAGCCGCGGGCAGGGCTGGTACCTGGCGGTGCAGGCGCCTGGCGAACATGCCGCGGGCAAAGGCCTGGATGGTGACAGCTGCCGCGTGGGTGCGGCGGTACGAGCGCCTGGCCAGCGCCATCTTGAGAGCAGCGCTGGCCCGCCTCAGGCGCCTGGCGAGTCTGCCAAGGGCAACGCAGCGCTGGGTACAGGAAGCCAGAGCCCACAGGGCTGGAGGAGCAGAGGTGTTGCGTCCCCCCTCCCCCCCGAGGGACAGAGTGACCCCCGGCAGCACAGTCCCAGGGTCTACTCACCTTCTGTGGAGACCCACAGCAAATCCCTGGTACCCCAGGCCAACCCCTCTGCCTCCCTCGGGCACTGCCCAGCCCCACCCAGAGACAATTACTTGTGAACAGACTGAAACAGCCACCTTTGGGGTCCACGTGGCTGGCGCTGGGTCCCCCGCTGTAGCTGTGGGGATGCTGTTTGCCTGTCACTCAACTGCCCTGTTAGAGGCTGGATGCAGCCCAGGGTGTCCAGAGATGATCTCCCCTGGTCAGATGCCAAGGCGGCATTTGCAGGACATCACCGCTCACCTGCGGGCCAGAAAGCCCCGGGCCAAGCGCTGGAGGCAGATGGCTGCGGCTCGCATCCGCAGGAAGCGTCTCCTCCCCAGCCAGCCCCGGAGGCTCTTCTGAATGAGGACGCAGGCTGCTCTCAGCCTCCTGCCACGCAGCTCCTCCAGGAAGGCCACCTGGCCGGCACGGAAGAAGATCTTGCCCTTCCCACACTGGAATTTGCTGGAGTCCTGTGGGGAGAGCAAGATCCATGACCGAGCACGTACAACGGGGTGGAGCAAAGTCACACCTGGGTGCTGCATGCTTGGCCCTGTGGGGCACCGGGGCCTGGCTGCTGGACAGACACCCCCACCCCAGCTGCCAAGTGTGGGGACTACAGCATCTGGACCGCTCCTGGGAGGGAAGGGGAGGGGGGTATTGACCTTCAACTCCCACACCCCTCTCCAGCTGCGGTGCCCTGGACACCAAGCAGCAGAGCCGGGCAGTCCCAGGGGGACCCAGGTGCCTACAGAGGAACCCACCCAGGGTCACCGACTCCAGCAGAGCCAGGGAACAGCCTGGGCAGAAGGGAAGCTGCCACCGCAGGCAGACACACACCTGGGTCTGCCCGAGGACACTCCGATCGGTGGGGGGCCATGGAGAGCTGGCCCGGCGCAGGACAGTCAGCGCCAGCTGCAGAGTGAGGGCCGGCCCAGCGCAAGAGAGACAGCTTGGGGAGGCAGTAACATTCCTGGGGCTGAAACCCTCATTACTCCCATTTGGAAAGGCTGCTGCAATGCCTTCTGGGAGTTGTAGTTCAGGGGTCTCGTGTCCCTTCTCCGCAGCAGGACTTGCCAAGTTCTGCGCACAGCAAATTCCCTTCCAGATCTGCCCGCTGCCCCACCCTCCTCCACAGACACTGCTCTTGGCCAGGGTGCTACTCGTCCATATTTCACTGACATGCAGGTCAGTAGCGGGGCTAGCGCCTGCTTGGCAATGCCTTCTGGGAGTTGTAGTTCAGGGGTCTCGTGTCCCTTCTCCGCAGCAGGACTTGCCAAGTTCTGCGCACAGCAAATTCCCTTCCAGATCTGCCCGCTGCCCCACCCTCCTCCACAGACACTGCTCTTGGCCAGGGTGCTACTCGTCCATATTTCACTGACATGCAGGTCAGTAGCGGGGCTAGCGCCTGCTTGCCATGTGGCCCCGATCCCCCCCCCCCCCCCCGACCTATCAGACCCGTTCCCCCAA